CTCCATTTAAAATGTTTTTTTAATCTCCTTTAAGCTAATTTAAACTTGAAAGACGCTGTTTTTTATAAAATTGCCAACAAAAATTTATTGTATCTACTATTCTGGTATTCATTAATTCCTGCAAGTTGATACGTCATCACAAAATTAGCTTTATCGGGCACGAATCTCGAGGCAAAAGCTAAGGGAAACTTTAAAAATTAATTCCAGGAGCTCCCGAACTCCGATTTCAGCGAACTTATAGTCAAACTGAGCGTCTTGAAAATATACACCAAATTCAACTCAATCCGAGTCCAAATGAGTCCGAATCAAGGACCCGAAGGGCTGTTGGAAGGTTCAAACCGCAATTTGAGTTACCAAACGGTCTCTCATTTTAACAAGCTTATCCTCGAATCGAGCGGCTCAACGAGACGAATCCAACGAGCCCAAGATTGCCGAATTCCGACATCATTAAAGCTTCTAAATGTCCAACGAACGGTGCATGATCAAAAGATTCGATATCGGCCGTCCATTCAAACCACTCCCAATTCGCTCCTGATCTCACGCCTATTTACGAGCCATGCCACTCCAGAAAAACTATAAATATAGCCCTCATTCTACACAAAGGGGACTCAAGTGAAGAGAGAAGAAGAATAGAAAAAGGAGGAGAAGTAAGAAGCTCCTCCTCGACCACAACCGGAGCTCTTCCTGCCGCCTGAAGACGCCGGAACTCTGCCGGATTTTCGGGAAACGTCAGGAATTTGCAGAACTTTGTGAGAAGTTAATTGTAAATTGATTGTCTTGATTTGTAAGACGGATCAACCTTTGTACTTCAAACAAATCCTAGTGAAACTTTACAACTGGGCAAGGCCCCGTGGTTTTTTCCTCTTTTGGGTTTTCCACGAAAAAACCCTAGTGTTCACTTCTCTTTTCTGCTTGTGTGCTGAATACTCATACAACGCTAGGGCATAAATTTATAAACTCTACCGCCGTGTTAATCTAGAAACCCAATATTCCTTTTTATTTTTATTTTTATTTTTTTAATCTACTCATTAAGCTAATTTAAACTTAAATCACGCTCTTTTTTATACAATTTCCAAAAAAAAATCATCCCAAACAGACTCTCAAAAGAAGAAAAAATCATCCCAAACATATCCTGAGAAGAACAAAAATCATTTAGAAAAGGGAAAAAAAAGGTTGTTAGTGGTGAAATGGTATCCAATAATTAAGAAATGAATATTTTTCTTCAAATGATCCATATAAGAAGTTAAATTCTTAAAAGTTTAAATATTATTTTATTTTAAATTATTCAATAAAAAGATAAAAAATCATCCAAAAAAAAAAGTATATTAAGTATTATTAATTAATGTTCCTACTAAAAAAGTTACACTCATAACAAATACAGGCTTATGGATAATACAAACAAAGCTATAGAATCACCTGTAGCTGAAGCGCAAATTTCATGGTTGAAAATGGCAAATTATTACGTCCGGTGTTCGGATTCATCCGGACACCAATCCAGACGTGCCACATCACCCAAATATATTGGGTCCCGGTGTATTTGAATGATGTGGCGTCTGAATTTGATGTTCGGACATAGTAATTAGCCGCTGAAAACAGGTATGGATAAGATTCGGAAGTGATTTGCTGAAAGTTATTACCTACTGCTTTCACCTCTTAGAGCCTTTTGTTTCTCTTTTTTAAATGATTTTACTTGACGGAAATTGTTCTGTGCGGATATCGGATCGTCTAGAGGTGAATCAAAACGTATCATATCATCTGGTACTTAGTGGTATGCAACAAAATAAATGATATGCCACGTTCTTATTCTCCTCCGATGCTAAAGCATCTGTATCTGCACAGAATAATTTTACCTATTTGAAACAGTTCACTTGGCAGTTTTATTTTCAGATAATTTTTTTTTGCTCTACTATTAATTTTTTTATAATCAGATTAAATAAATTATTTTTTTTTTCACAATCAATTTTATAAAATGCTGCGATACTTCCGGATAGACTCTCAATTTTAAGATTTAACAATTGAACCAACTTCACGGCTATTTGTGGAAAATAAATATTATGTGAAGCCTAATATCTTACAGATGAGGACTAATTTTAGAGTCCTACTATATACTATGATATTTTTATTAATAACATGTGAAAATTTATTTGATTTTTTTATTTTTTTGTTTTAAAAAATAATTATTTTAAATATGAATTTTGAAATAAATATTCAATGAATTGCAGAATTTAATAGTTATTACTTATTAGTCACAATGTTTATAGGATTAATTAATTCCAAATTAAAGTTTTTGCACATTATGGATCCGGCGAGGAAGGTTGTTGTTAGGGCATCTTCAACCGATAAACTCATTTTTCACGTCAAAATACAGTAATACACCAATATGAAGTAACTTATCTTCAATTGAACTTTATTTTCTAACTCTAAAAGGAGAATATTCCAAATATATTCTTTTTCATACTTAAATTTTTAAAATTAATAATCAATTTTTCGAATAAAAAAAAACAAATAGCGGGTAAAGGCATCACACTATTCACCCACAATCAAATGGCGGAATGTTTAGAGTTCAGCTGGAGCGATCGAACGACGTCATACGCATGTTTGACGTTTGAGTGGAGATGCCTTTACCCATACGCAAACTAACGCCTGCCAAAATCCTTAACAAATGCGAACAAGTGGAAGATGTTCATTTTTAAAATTGAACTGGAAACAACAACAACTATAACCTCACTATGTTTGAATGAGAAGGCTTTTAGATTGAGAGAAGTATGAAGCGAAAAAGAATATGAAAGAGATTAAGAAGATGGTGAGAGATGAGGAAAGAGGGTACAAATTTTACTACTCACTTTTTGCTTGATACAAATTTAAAGACATCATCATTATTTATATTAGTAGTAACTCATTATGATTGCGCCAACACATTTCAATCCAACGGGTATAAATGGCTATGTAAAATACTCTTTTATTTTCTATCATAAATGGCATTAAATGCCATTATAAACTATTTTAGAAATTACATTAAAATAGATTCATAGCCTCTTTTATAATAGATTACTCTAATAGGTTCATAGCATCTTTTACAATAGATTACTCTAGAATATGAGACTCAATCAAAAGCCCAAAATACTAATGGGCTATTTGGGCCACAATTAAGTTTAATTTGAAACACTCTACACTTGATGTCCAACTTCATCCATAAACCTTTGGCCCCATTGAATGCAACAACAACCCTAAAATTCAAATCCTAATTAACAACCGCTCAATCCATGACTTCACTCAACAACGCTTGATTGAATTCCTCAAAGCTGGGAACATACCAATTACCTTATATATGAAAAAGGTGCATTGTCTAAAGCAGTACATTGTAGTACTCTCTCTCCCATAGAGGAGATTATTCTGTGGGGAAACTGGACGATGAGAACCGTTTGAATTTGTTGTGATTATACTGAGTATTTATTGCGCTTTTGCAAATATTTAGTAAAAATGCATCAAATATTTAATTATAAATATTTGTTGAGTATGTACTGCACTTTTGCTGAATATTTATCGTGCTTTTACTAAATATATATTGAGTTTTTGTTTATTTGATGTACTTAGTATTTGTTATGTTTTTGTATTGAATATTTTGCAAATACTCAAAAAATATTTATAATTGAATATTTGTTGCATTTTTACTGAGTATTTGTAAAAGCGCAGCAAATTCTCCCTGAATATTGTGATTTCGTATACTTCTCCCTGAAATCTCCTTTTTTTCTTCATTATTATTGTGTAAGTTCCATAGACAAAATTCTACTTAAAATAATTTTTTTTTCATAAACTGTTACATATAGCAATATTCACTATGTTTAAAACTCGAAGAAGAAGGCATTCCTCATAAACTGCATTGAGTGGCAAAAACCCTTCTCATTGTGAAAACACATTCACTGTTTTTAGCACATTCAAACAATTAACCCAAATATAAATTGATTATCTTAAAACATGCGGCTCAAATTAAATAAATTTAGGTTTCATTTGAAACAAATTTCTTAATATTTATTTATTAGTTCATAATCAGAATTTTTGTTTCTACAGCTACTTTAAGAATCAATAAGAAAATCGTCCCAAATGAATAATAAAAGTTACTTTTTCTACGGTAGCTTTACAGTAGCTTACGCTTCATTTTGGACCTTTTTTTCCTATTTTTTAAATAGCTTTTAGTAAAAAAAAAATGAACTATTAAATTTTCCAAAAAAAAGCTACTTTAGAAGGTAATAAAAAGTTATCATATAAGGGGACATTTTTGTTTTCATTTAAGAGTATCTTAGTCATCTCCTAAAAATTTATGCGAAAATTGGTTTGTTGTGTTGATAAGTTGAGCCAGCACAAATGAATTTTATGCTATATGCAATCATATATTGTATTAAACTATCCATATATATCTCTCTATATTAGTATCAATTAGGGGTATAACTGTATAAGTGAGCTGAGCCAGCTCGCAAGCGGGCTCTAGCTCGACTCGTTTATTGGCTCGCGAGTCAGGCTTATCGATCTCTAGCTCGTTTATTCACGGCCAACTTGATTCACTATTAATATTTTTAAAATAATTTTTTTACTAAGACTAAATGTTTTAATCTTCCAACCTA